CATGTTGTTTACAGAGATCATTTCTCACGGCTTTGGTCATGAGGTTTTTGGTGGATGAACCATTAAAAAAGAAATACAATCAAGTAAATATGATCACAGGACACTTTTACAGCTGACCTAAAAAAAAGAGAGTAAAAAGCAACAAAAAGAGGCAGCAGTGCTATTGATTAGGACAACACAGCTTTGTCTGTCTGCAGGCCTCTTCGCCTCGGCGCATTTAACAAGACACCCAGGAAAAATCAGTTTTCACCAACATCCAGGGGTCGACCTTCAATTCCTTGTACCTGACTGCAGCCTGCCACTCATCAACGGGCAGCTGACTGCTTCTTTCATACTATAACCATTTCTTTAAGGAGCACTTTAAGCTTTTTACTTGTTTTTTTTTTACCTCACTGACTCTTGTAAACACATAAAGGACTCTGTGGATTTTTCCAACAATTTAGCATCCCTAGTGATTAGATTATCCCTGCTTGAACTGTCTAAATCCAATTTATCAACAAATACAAATACTACACAATTAGAGGCAAACTGAGAAAAAAAAACCAACATCATTATAAATAGTGAAATCAGTCGTTTGAGGAGACAACAGAAAACAAAACTTTAACGAGATGCGATCGTTCAATAAACTGCAGGCGGTTGGGGTGAGGAGGAATCCACATCAGCTTTTTTCTTCTTGCGTGGTGGGGGTTAGCGAGAAGAACCAGGGCTCACTTCGACCAAGACAGTGGGACCTCAGAGAAGGCCCTTAATTTTATTTGTTCCACTTGATGGTCATAAAGGAGTCATACTCCCTGATCCACCATAAAGTCAGCAGGTTTCAGGGAGTCATGCTTTACATCCAGCCCTCTCTTCTTTGAAGCTGGACATTGATGTCGCCCCAGGCAAAGAAATGTGCACACTGGGGACATTTATTTAACAAGTAGTAAAATGTATGCGATAAAATGAACGGGGTAATTAATTCTGCCAGTAATGACAGGCAGAAATCAAGATGGTGGTCTGCTGAGAGAAATATTACTTAGGTAAAGAGGCTAAATCATACAGTTAAATGAGTTCATAAATCAATTCATTTTCAAAATACTTGATTAACGATTTAAATTCTTTTTCAGGCCTGTTAAGTGTCAGAATGTCATGCTTTTCATGGACGAACTGTAATTTTAATCACGTTTAAGGCAATGGCCTAATTCAGTCTTTTCAACACATCGCACCTGCTGAAATACTTATGCAGATGAAAATTAATTAACAGGCACAAATATTTTATGTGCTGAGTCATAGTGACATTGCTGGCCTTCGTTTGCACCAAGCAGTTATGTTGCGCTAAATCTAATATGTTGAGGAAAAATAAATTCAAAAGTAATCTCACATCTGAGTTAATTTGTTTAAAAGATATAATAAATAGTTGTAAAGAAAAGTCAAATAAGCAGTGGAAAACTATTTATTTTTGCTCTTATTATGATAAATGACTAAGTTTAAGCTTTACCTTTATCACCACCCATCCAATAATGAGAAGGTTCCCCTCTGTGCTGTGACCAGGCAGGGCTTGGATAAAGAACATCTGGAGTAGCTTCTCTCCATCATGTGGGCTGAGGGGGGCGGTTTTTGTAGATTGGGTTTTCTTCCCACAGGCACCATTAGATGTCATCAGATTAGGATGAGTAGTCTGACAGCACCTCATCATTGTGCTCTTTGAGCCTTTTCACTTGCCATACTTGCATGTCCCACAGCTGGCGGTGCTGTGGAAGACTCATCACCACATCTGGGGAGTGATTGGTCTGTAAACATATTTACAAAGGTGGCATGATGACCACGTTTACTCACTTTTTATTTGCAAGGTGTCAAAATAGCTTTTGTTCTAGCCAACATCCTCCTAAAAATGAAATTTACTTTATTACCAAATAAATTAAATCTGATATTTCTCGTTCTAATCTAAATGCTAAATCCCCCGCAGCTCACCTCCTGTACCTGCACTTAGTCTCGTGTAGACTTTAACGCAGCGGTGCGACTGTTAACAGTCCCCGCAGCCCAGCAAATATTTAATCTCACATTCTCCAACACGTCCTCTAATAGCCATATGCTCTTAAAACAAATGAGTTCCTGCTCCCACTCCTCCCCGTCTCATCCCACCACCGTCTCAGCAACTAAATCCAACATTCATGTTTAAAATGGGGGGGTGGGGGGGGATGGGGAAGCATTTAACACATTGGTGTTATCCCAGAAACCAGTCATGCAGTTAATTGTTGTTATAAAAAGAGAAGGCGAGCAAGAACACAAATCTGACGTTCATATTTTTACTCCTCTCCGTTACCAAAACGATGTGGTTCGACCACTGGACTGAAAGTTATTAAATCCACCAAAGAGACATGAGAACAGATAATGTTTGCAGGAGTTGAAAGTGGCCCCGTGATGGCACTTCACTTTTATAGCGCGGAAAATAGAACTCATTGCTCGTGCCACGTTCACATCAGGTCATGGCTGCAGTTTTTACTGTACCATCGGCTGTGGTTTGGATCCTCCATGGTTGCACCTGTTTTCAGCAACACTGAAGAGCCCCAGAGCCACCTGGCCCAATCCGGAGAGAGGAACCTGAAATAGCTTGATGATGAGTCAGAGAGGGGGAAATGTACCTACAGGGTAGTTTAGCCCCTCATAGCTAGAAAAACAAGTGTCCGTTTGTCAGATTGCATCTTTTAGGTCAGCAGCTTTTGGGCATTAGTGCAAACAGGAGCACATTCAGGGGTTTGTTAGCTTTGACTGTATTCCTCAAGGCATGGAGGTTTGTGTAGTCAAACCGCTTTCTGCTGCATATGGTACGTGTCCAACTCAAGGCCCGCCACGTCATTTTATGTGGCCCGCGAGAGCTTAAAAGAGAGTCTGATTGTCGTATAATAAATAAGTCTGAAGGGTGCACTGACAACAAACTACATTTCCCATAATGCATGATGATTATACTGCGAAGTAACAGCATCCCACCACTGGACTGCAGTTTTTCCACATCAATATCATTTTCCGAACAAGTGGAATAGAGAATTACAAACAACGATCCCAAAATGAAGAGAAAAACGGATGCAGATGCTGTTTCATGAAAGATGTGAAGATGAATATATGTTTGTGCTTCAAAGAGAGAAACCGGTATGTCTTTTGTGTTAAGAGGCAGTGGCGGTCGTCAGAGAGTACGATCTACGTCGGCATTTTGACACCAAACACGGAGCTAAGTGCCAAAGAGAGCCTTCAACCCTGATGTTGTGAGTTTATTATACTTATCAAATGTCTTTTATCATGTTAAATTTGCAGCAATGTATTTGGGATTGCAGGTTTATGTGTTTATGCAGGTAAATGTTTTCTATAATAATCTTTAGTTGGATGTATGACCCTTGCAAGGCTGTGTGCAGCCATTTGTTTTTTGTCAAATGCTACACCTGTCACTCATGTGCAGCTCACAATTGTTTATTGGACCGTTATTCTGCCCCTCTTAACTATGACAAAAAAGTTTTGAACAAAGTTAACGTCATAACTTTTTATTTTCCCTTATTCACTTGTTTGATCATTGATTCATGGAGTAATGAGGGTTTCATAACCTGACAAATTAAAAGGTTTTGTTATAACAGACATATTTTTCTACATCTATGCAAATATGTATATGTAATATTTGTAATTTAAATAAGTAACAAAATCATAATTATTGAACATTAAGCAGTAGTTGCATTTACAGTTAAATTTAGCTACATTTATACTGTCTTACAGTTACATCTGGCCCTTTGAGGGCAACCATTATGCTGATGTGGCCCTTGGTGGAAATGAGTTTGACACCCCGGATGGTAACACAATACAGCCAAATACAGACATTTAATCCATGATGGCAAGCAACGTAGATTTCAAGGAGGTCACCATAGTAAATTAAACAATTTTGTGAAAACACTTTAAACAAATTTAAATATCTGTAAAATGTGGTACCCTGCAGTGATTCTGTGACTGAATGATCGGATCTTGGTTTTGCCTCCAACTACACTTTTTATAGCGCGTGCTTTAAGCACTGCACCTTCACACTTCAGCTTAACACACTTGAGAAAAAGGAGAAGACGAACAGCGTCACGGGCCCTCAGAGGGTATAACAAGTGAGTGCAGATCAATATAGGCAGTATGTGTTAAATTTCAAGATTGTTTGATGTCTGAACAGGTTCACTGGGAACAGGTTCAGGCCTGATGCGGAGCCGAGTCACCCCGCGTCTCATTTTTACATGCGAGGGTGCTCGCTCGATTAAATATCGTTTACTTTTGCGATTGTCGTTCTGTTTGAAGTGTGTGACGAGTCTTTAAATTCCTCCCCCACCCCCCTTCCCCACAAGCTGAAAGCAACAGAGCCTTGCTGATGAAAAGCAACTAGAAAAATGCCAAAAGAATTATACAAAACGTCATTTATTAAAAAAAAAAAAAAGTGTCATAAAAATTGGGAAATATCAAAAGCATTCAGCATCACAGTTTTCACTGTTGATGTACAATCATCCCAGTCACACTTACATTCAGTATACAAAAATATATATAAAAAAGGAACCTTTGGTTGAAAAATACATCATATTGCAGAGTAAAAATGAGGCACTAGTTTTGCTATTTGAGTGCTGGCAAACTGTTTCTACAGACTGTGCAAAAGTTATGATAATCTCCCTAAATCTAAGTTTGCACTTGTTCCCTATGGAGCAATGGCTTTTACACTGGTTATACTGCATGCTGCCAATCATAATGCAGCTTTTGGTACTGTTTGCATGAAAAAAAAAAGAAGAAAATAAAGAAAAGTGGATAACAGCCATTGAGAGGCGTTGATACAAACAGTGAAGATAACATTGAGAAGGAAAGTTTCTAAACATGCAGAAAGTGCATGAATGGCACAGGTAGGTTTAATATTTGGTTTGACAAAGCTCAACGCTGATTGCAATCACCGGAACACTGATTGAGACGAGAAGCGAGGGAGCGCTGAGCAAATTTCTCACTATGAAACGAAATGGACCGGTAGTAGGACAAAACAAATAAACAGTCTGCATATATGTGAGCAAATCCACCCGCCCACCCCCACACATCCCTCTGCTTTGGTGTGACTCCCTGACACATTTCCTGGGCTTGGAAAAATAAAGAAACAGAAAAAAGGGAGATGAGGGGGTTGCTGGTGGCTGGTGATGGAAAAGTATCCCAGCTTCAGTGTGCTGCACAACAACCAGATTCCTCATGCTTGTGCAGAAGAGACATCCTGGAGAAGGTTTTGGAGCAGTTCTTGCATTGGTATTTTTTCACATCCGAATGGGTCTGTAGGTGAGCCCTGAGATTAGATCTGTCTGCGAACGCCCTGTTGCAGTGTGGGCAGGAGAAAGGCTTTTCACCTGTGGAGGCAGACACGAAGGAGAAGACTTTATTAACAACTCCGCACAGCTTCCCATCAGTCACTGAGATCTTGGCACACAACACAGCAAATTTACAGGAACATTTGACCTTTGCAGCGGGGGTCAATTTAACTTTAGAGCTGCATTAAGAGGGATTCACAGTGGCTGTTAAAAATCAAGCAGGTTGAATCAGCCTAGAAAATCAAAAAGTTGCTCCCCCCTTCAACTCAAGAGGCCCACCGCCTCCCAGCCACTCACCCGTGTGCGTCCTGATGTGTCCTTGGAGCAGCCACGGTCTGGAGAACGCCTTCCCGCATATTTTGCAAACACAAGGCAAGGTGTGAGTCCTGATGTGCATTTTGAGAGCTCCCAGACTAACGTACTCCTTCTCGCAGTATTTGCAGCTGAAGGATTTGCGCGCCTGGGCGTCGCAGTGCAGCTGTTTGTGCTTGAGCAGTCCAGAGTACGTGGAGTAGGATTTGCTGCACAACGCGCACTGGAACTTCTCCGCGTCCGCTGCGCTCGGGTCCGTCAGTTTGGGCAGCAGCTGCTCGTCTTCGTCGCTCCTCGGGCTTTCCGAGCCGCTGTGGTCCTTGGAGGAGGTGTCGGATAGGGATGAGGGGTAGCCGATGGGGGAGAGGTCACTGGACAGCGGGGACAGCGGCAGGCTGCTGGTGGTCCATACTGTGATGGGGCTGTACGCAGCCGGGCTCAGGATCTCCGGCTGGGGGATGACAGAGATGGGGAGGCCCCTGTAGAAGTGCGGCGTGATGAACACTGGGGGAAAAAAAAAGTGACATTAAAAGAGTTATCCCATCAGTTTGCGCTAAAGGAGCTGAGGATTACCAAAAGCTGACCCAAATCAAACTTTATAAAGTTACTAAAACTAAAAGCTTTACCTGTTGGGCTTTCCAGCTCACTGTAATTTGGCTTCTTTGCGGAGTTTATGTGTTTCTTGACTAAAAAGGATCGTGGCATCTTGAAATACAAAAAGGACAAACTTTTGAGGAAACTTTTTCTTGCTCGTTTCCGCCTCAGCAAATAATCAGCAGCCTCGGAGCTTGTTGCGTAAAAACGGAAATCCTTAAAAAAAAGTTTTTAAGTCCGGCGGAGCGTCATGGCGCGTCGCTGCGTTCTTGGAAACAAGTGCTGTAAAAGAGCTGTAAATACTCCCTATATCAGGTGCATAGGAGGAGCCACCCACAGCCATTTACATATGCTGGGACCTGAAACCAATTAAATCTCGCCCTGACTGCAGAGAAGAAGCTTTGGTTCTCAACTGCGTGGGCTGGCTTACACTCCCATGTCTTCCTCTGAGACAGGTGTTTTCTGCAAGGCTGGTGTTCCACGAGGACGCATGCATGAAATCAATTGGCATCCTGTGTGGAAAAAAAAGCAACAGGAACACATTTAGTTATAAACATAAAAAAATATATAATGCAGCTAAAGAAGCTCAAGAGTGAGGAGGAAACGAACACAAAGAAATGGATTGTTTTAAACACACCTGCATTGAGTTGCACTGATGAGTGTTGTGCACTAAAACCTCTTTTGGATTTGATTATGCTGTGCGTGGCATATTGAAATGGAAGAATATACAAAATGAGAGTCACATAAATTCACATTAAACACATAAATCACTGCAGGGTCCATGAGAACCACCATCTTTATGGTAACGTCTACATGTGCACTCAGCGGTGCAGTTGTACAGGTTTCTTTGCCAACAGTGCCACAAGGTTCGTCCTTCTTGAAAATGTAAATTTAAATGTCCTCTCAAGGTCATCATGACAATCACATGTGTATCCTGTAATGGGCACAGAGGCAAACTGAGCAGTGTACGCCCCCTTGTGTTGGAGTCAGTTCTGAGGGTTTGTTGGACATCAGTGACAAGGCAGAAACAAAAAGGCTGTGCTGTGGCAATGTTGAAAACCAGCAACCTGCAGCTGTTTGACTGGCTGGGTCAGCAAATAGTACAAACTGCTTCTGTCTAGGGGCCGTGCTTTAAGTTAATAGTGAACAGCTTATCTTATCTGAAAAGCATAATTGCAGATGAGGAATAGTTTCCCCTTTGTGCCAGCTTGGAGTATAAAAGGAAAGCGAAGGTTATCTGCGCAGAACAACTCCTGGCTACTATCACAGATTCAGCAAGCACGGTTTGGGAGGAATAGTGAATGTTTTGCTGGTGAACCAGTTGTGCACTCTTCAGGGAAAAAAAAAAGCTTTGAAATGAAAACCAACCAAACCACAGAGCATGCACAGGTGAAAGATGCCTCCTTGCAGTTTTTATGCTTCACCTCGGCTTCCTGGATGCTTTATTTTACTGATGGGAGAATAAAAGCATGCAGCGTGAGCTTGCATCATATGTTCTAAAAAGGACCTTCTGTCGGTTTGAGGTAAAAAAAAAAAAAGATTAAAATCGCTTTGAATATTAAACATAAAAAGGTAATATGTTATGCTATCTGAGCACCATCATGCTCCAATTCCAATCATAGATGTGTTGTTTTTTTGTATTTTTGCTCATTATTGTTATTCGGAGATGCCGAACCTCTAGTGTTGGGAGCTGACTGACTAGAATGGGAAAACAGCCTCTTTTCATCCCGTTTTCTTTCTCATCTCTTGTCTTACTAAATGTAATCCTGTTTGTTTGCATTTGTTTGTTTTAGGTCTGTTTTTATGAAATCATTTAGGCTCCCACCTACCCTGCAGAAGCTTTTGTTTACATTTAATCCATATAGAAAGGAACTATATGTAGGTGTCTCTGTGCATGCAGCTCTTTAATTATACTGCTGGATTATAGCAACATATACAGTGTAGTTAAAAAAAAAATCACCAAAGGCCCCATTTATTTTGAATTTTATGATATTAGAATATAATTAAACAATTTATAATGAAATAAAAACAAAATAAGGTTAAAGCTATGGTAATCTCATGGTTTGATTGTTGTCACTTCTTATTCAAAAGTGAAGGCGGATGATAATGGTTTTATCCATGACTCTGTGTATGTGTTTATTTGTCTATACTGTCAGCAAAATATCTCATGAACCAGTGGACAGACTTGAATGTAACACTCAGAAAGTAATATTTGCATCAACTGAAGTTTTGGAGCCAATGCCATTTAAGATGGTCATAGAAAACCTTATAGCAAACACATAAATATGTTCAACTCAGACACGTTTACAGATATTGACCAAAAAATAGGCCTGGTAGTATCTGAAAGTCATCTCCATCACATGCTCTGAGCTCTACACTTTATGAAATATTTTAGCCTTTGTGTCCACCTCAATCCAACAAAGAGAACACAGTCAAAACCTATTTATGGAAATTTCTCATGTGAAATGAATATAATTGGTACTAATAATATTTTTAGATGTTCATGTCCAACCAGGTTGCTCAGATTAACAGCCTGATTGAAAAACTGCTTTAAAACATGTTTTTTCCTCTGCTCTCCTCATTGGTTTGAAGTGCAGGGCTTAAAAGAAGAACAAGCATCACAGACAATTCAGTTCATTTTATTTATATAGTACCAAGTCACAACCGTCATCTCAGGGCACTGAACAGACTCTCATTTTGAGCAAGCACGAAGGCGACAGTGGAAAGGAAAAACTCCCTCCTTAGGAAGAAACCATTAGCAGAACCAGGCTCAGGACAAGCAGCCATCTGCTTCGACCGGCTGGGTTTGAAAGGGAGGAACAGATACACAATGGCAGGTCAAGAATCACATGTTAAGATAGAAATAATATCAAATGAAAACTATTCAATTTTAACAATTCATTTAAGGAAATGAGGACAGATATTAGTACAGGTAAATGATATTTCCTGTTGTTACTAAGCCCAGACTGTATATTTTGGATAATTCCAGTGACATGTCTGCTCAGATCTAACATCATTTCTGGGACATGTAAGCCCAATAACAGGTATGAATTAGCTTCAGTTCACTAATGGATCACTATTAAGCCATTTATAGGAGCAGAGCTTGACAATGTTTTCTGGCGAGGTGTGAAACCACAGAGAGCATTTATTTATTAGCTCCAATCACACCACTGCCCTTGGCAGATAACCTCGGGAACAGATGTAGGCTGAAGAACCAATACAGAGCAGTCTACTGCAGCAGATTTGAACCTTAATTAACTAGCTTTAATTAAAAGAGTGCTGCCTCAGACAGTAATGTGCTCATGCTCCTCGGTGCTTGAACAGCCTGCGCTGTGACGTGCAGCTCAGGTTGGTAACTTAAAACGTCAGATGATTTGAGTCGCCTCAGCTGGCGTGAAGACAGCATGGGAAACGAGATGCACCTGACCTGAGTGCTCAGCAGCTGACGAGAGGGCCCCATGGTGAGTCCAGAAACTACACAGTGTCTGAACACACGTACTGCGTGTCAGAGTGTGTGCGTTCACTCTCTGACGAAACAAAATGAGTCAGACGTGTCTGACTCAAAAAATGCAACCATGGCATTTGAAAAAATCATAATTAGCTCAAGAAAACACTCAAGCACACACTCTGATGTGAATTTTAAGTATAAATAATTGTTGTTTCATAATGAGTAGGCAAGAAAATTCAATTCAGTTTGATTCATTTTTATGGTGCCAATTCACAACAAAGGTCATTTCAGGACACTATATAAAAAAAATCTAAATAATAAATCCTATTCAGATCCAGATTCAAATCAATTCATTCCTATTATAACCCAAAACATTTACATAAAGTACATTCAGAAAGGTTAATTAGTAAAAGATAAGGAAGCCAGCAGATTGCAATCTTCACTTCATCATACTCCCCCATCCTGGCGACAGTTGAAAGGAATGACACCCTTTTAACAGGAAAAACCTCCAGCAGAACCAGGCTCAGGGCGAACAGCCATCTGCCTCGACAGGCTGCGGTTCGAGAGGACAGGGAAGTGACAGACAAACCCAAAATGACAGGTTCAGGAATAATTTCTATGGGAAGAAAGACAATGAAAAATATGTTAATGATAGAAACGGTAACAGAGAGTAGTGTGAGTAAAGGAAGAAGCAGAGTGAGGAGATGTGGTCAGTTTGTCCTCCAGCAGTCTAAGCCTATTGAATCAGAATCAGCTTTATTGTCTTTGCACAGAGCACAACGAAATTACATTTCACTACAGCCCGTCCGAAGAACCATAAACAAACAAACAGACACAGACTTGTGGATAGACGGGGTGACTGAGGCTGCAGCCTCTGAGAGGCGCTCCTTTTACGTTAGATTAGAAAAATGGAAGGGAAAAGGAGGCAAAAAATAAATAAAAAAATCAATCTTTGATTTTGATGAGATTGCAAAATACCCCAGCACATAAAAAAACAACATACAGACATGAGACATTTGCATGTGAAGTGGCTGGGGGTGGGGGGTGTGGGGGGGGGGGGGGGGGGGGCGGGGGGAGATAAGGGAGGCCAGCGAAGTCGTGAATTTCAGGGGGAGTAGTCCGTGAGCACTGTCCAGAGCACCCCCCGAAGCCATAGTCCTGATAAAAGGTGGTGTTTATCAGCTGGCTCGGTTGTGCTGTTACACAGGTCCATGTCCTGGAGAGCAGGTGGGGATGGGGGATAGGGGTGGGGTGGGGGTGGGCTGGGGGTGGGCAGAGCATCTTGTTTCCATAAAATCCAGAAGAAATTGAGATAGTCAGCCTTTCAAGGCCAGCGCAGGGGAAGCCAGATTCAGATATTAGCATTTGTTTTGGGTCAGGACGAGCTCTGTTAATTTCCGTCTGCCTTTACAGTCTCACTAGTACTCATGGCGACTCCAAACAGCTAAACTGTGACTCCAAACAGTAAACTCGCCGAGTCGAGCTTCTAACTTCTTCAAGATCAATTCATTCTCACCAGCGAGATTCGCTCGCACAGCGTCTGAGTGTAAGTGTTGACCGCACGGCACATTCCTTCCATGCCAGGCAGCTTAACAATGAACAGCTGCTGATGTTTTCCGAATTTGTCGATAAGCCAGGTAACCACCAACTCCCAAAAAGCAGAAATCCTGTTATCATAATCCAATTTTTTTAATCTTCAACGTCCTCGACCAAAAATGCTAGTGTTCCGTCGAGGCAAGAAGTCTCTCCTTTGTCCTGTCTTCTTGTTGAGAAAATTTGAACAATTGCATTGAGAGACCACAGCTGACCAGATCCATAGTTCATAATTTGGAAGGTATGCAGAAAGAGGCTCTGAAAACGGTTAATTATCGCAGCATAAGGAATCGCTAAGGAAACCCAAGATAATTCTAACCTCTCTAAAAAGTCTAGTTGGCCCAAATGCTGCTGATTAAAGTTAGAAGGTGAAACGATTCCCCTCCAGTTTTCGCTTCTCTCCATTGGCTCACTGTCAAATTCTTAATCAATCAAATTTAAAATTTTAATCCAACATACAAAACTCTCAATGACCAAGCTCTGTCTAAACAACTTACTGTTCCAAATTTTCAAAGCAGAGCACTTCTCTCTCAGACTAAAGGTTTACTTGTGGTTCCTAGAGTTTCTAACCAGGGAGGTAGAACTTTCAGGTCTCATGTTCCTCTTATGTGGAACCCAGTTCCCACTTTCTATCCATGAGGCTAACACAAGGCTTAACTGTCCTTTGTGATAAAACCAAAGGTTATGGGCACCCAGAATAAAGATTTACAGTCCAGACTTGAAGTGATAAATGCATGCAGTTTTCATATTTTTTAAACACGTTTCTAATTTTAGTGTCATTAAGCAGGTTGAAGAAAGTGGTCCTGGTAACATTTTAATGAGAGGTTGGTGAAAAATAACACTAAGTTGTCTAAAAAACTTTAATCTGGTCCTCTGGACATTAAAACAAACAAACAAAAAAATAGTAGAAACGTTTCGTCTTTCATCCGAAAGACTTCCTCAGTTTGAGGAGCTGTATTCAGCTCAGTCTCTTAAATAGCACCTTCTCAGAGTGGATTAATCAGTTTTTTTGCTGACAACCAAAACCAGCTGATCACATGCTCAAGAAGGACCATCAGCCTAACGATGGATCATTAGCACACAAATGGCTGTTTACTATTCACAGAGGGCTGAGTGATACTAGCAATAACAGCATTGTAAGAGGGGGACAGTTGAACATAGAGGCCTCCACCCCTGTTTAATGATGGATGATTTCTTTTCACAAAGATGGCCTCCTTTACTCCTCTCTCAAACCATCGTTCCTCTCTATCCAGGATGTGCACATCTTCATCCTTGAAAGAGTGACCGCTGGCCTGGAGATGAGTGTAGACCGCAGAGTCCTGGCCTGATGATGTTGATCTTCTGTGCTGGGCCATCCTTTTGGCCAGTGGCTGTTTTGTTTCCCCGATGTAAGACTGATCACAGCCCTCCTGACACTGAACAGCATACACAACATTACTCTGTTTGTGCTGGGGGACTGGATCTTTGGAGTGAACCAGTCTTTGCCGTAATGTATTTCGGAGTTTAAAAGCCACTGGGACATTGTGTTTAGAAAATAAACGTCTCAGTTTTTCTGATACTCCATCAACATATGGAATAACCACTGGTCTGGGTTCCTCCTTTTCACCTGTTGGCTGACTGGAGTCCTGTTTGGGTTTCTTCTCTGCTTTCAGGAAGGCCCAGTTAGGATATCCACATTGCTCTAGAGCCTGTCTTGTGTGGGATTTCTCCTTCTGCCTGGCTCCTGAGTTAGTGGGGACACTGTCTGCTCTGTGGTAGAGTCCTGATGACTCCTAACTTGTGCTCCATAGGGTGATGGGAGTCAAACTGCAACTACTGGTCTGTGTGGGTGGGTTTGCGGTACACCTCAGTTTGCAAATGTCCTCTATCAGAGACTGAGACCTCACAGTCCAAGAAAGCCAGTCTGCCATTTTTTACATCTTCTCGTGTGAACTTGATGTATTTATCCACAGAGTTGATGTGGTCAGTAAAATGTTGGACTTCCTGAGATTTAATTTTAACCCAGGTGTCATCAACATACCTGAACCAATGACTTGGTGGTGTCCCTGAAAAGGACGTCAAGGCTCTCTTTTCTACCTCCTCCATGTACAGGTTGGCAACAATAGGAGAAACTGGAGACCCCATAGCACACCCATGTTTCTGCCTATAATATTGCTCCCCATATGTGAAGTAAGTTGACTGCAGGCACAGTTTCAAGAGTTGACACAGCTGCTCTGTGGAAAGTGTGGTCCTGCTGCTCAGAGTGGTGTCTGATTTTAATCTTAAACTGACCATCTCTACTGCATCATCAACAGGAATGCACAGGAATGCACAGGAATGCGATCACTCTTTCAGGGATGAAGATGTTCACATCCTGGATGGAGAGGAACGATATTTTGAGAGAGGAGTAAAGGAGGCCATCTTTGTGAAAAGAAATCGTTCATCATTAAACAAGGGTGGCCTCCATGTTCAACTGTCCCCCTCTTACAATGCTGTGATTGCTAAAATCACTCAGCCCCCTGTGAATAGTAAACAGCCATCAGTGTGCTAATGATCCATTGTTAGGCTGATGGTCCTTCTTGATCATGTGAGCAGCTGGTTCTGGTTGTCAGCAGCAAACTGGTTGATCCACTCTGAGAAGGTGCTATTTATAAGACTGAACTGAATACAGCACCTCGCTGAGGAAGTCTTTCGGATGAAAGATGAAACGTTTCTACAATTTTTTAAAATTTATTTATTTATTTTAAATGTCCAGAGGGCCAGATTGAACTTTTTTTTAGATTTTTCTACCTGGATTATTGAGCATGCATCAGGAACTCTATGGTGATTTTGAGTCTGAATCAATCTGGATATGAATGCATTTTTAGGAAAACATTGGGCTTTTATTCACATCCTGAAGACCTAAACTCACTTATACAAACTTGTTAACCTCACTCTTGGTGTTAAACCAAGTCATCACCCTAAAAAAAAAAAATTAGCTTAAATAAAAAGATCTTGATTTTCGTGACTGAAAAGGACAGATTTTTCCCTCCATGCCCTGACCTACACCGTCATAACTAATTCATCAGCTCATATCCTCAACTTCAACCCTCAAGCTGCTCTTTAATTATAAATAAAGTGAGTGACAACGTCTCAGTCTGAATCTCTGCATCTCTACAAGTAACCAAAAAAAGGAAAATCCACGCTTCGAGTCTGTCATTTACACAACCCTGAAGAACTAAACAATACAAAATAACAAGACAGGCTTTGTAAAACCTGTTTTTTTATATATATTTACACGTGAATGCGTGATAGAGTGGCAAAAAATATATACTGTGCAGAAAGAAAGTGTGCTCATGCAATATTAATGGTCCCGGAGTTGTGCGGGGTGTTTTGGGTTTTAGACACGCAGCGCCTGAACGCACCACGCCGCGCCGCGCGTGATTTCCAGCTTCAGTTGTTGGCAGCAACAGCAGCAGCCGCACGATGCGCGACCGACACAGCAAGAAGAAGGTCGGAGCTGTGAAACCGGACCCCCTGCCAGAGATGTCGACGGACAGGAATCCCTGAAAGCAACACTAGTTCCCAGGACAGAACAGGAGGGGGAGGAAAAATGGGTTTAATGTTCTGCTGCTGCTTCATCCGTCGCCTTGTCTGCACACCACAGTGTTGTAGTGGACCTGGATGCTGTGTGGGCGATGCTGCCACAAGGGATTTATTGTGATTTCGCAGAGATCTGTATTCAACCGTTGCATCAACTAAAATAAAATGAAATGAAAAGGGCGTCAGAGGACGGACAGGAGTAAGAAAGAGGGGGGATCTATAAGACATCACCACCTGTTACCAGAAAATCAGGTAAGCCTCATAAACCTATGTCGTTTTTACAATGCCTTATTAATTATTCAGCCAAGCACCCATTAAATAAACCATTAACCTGTACTTTTTTGGTGTGCATAATTCACCTTAATGTTGCACCATTTACTAATCACCTTTATGGTCCAGATGGTAATAAATCCTATTTTCAACCTCTGAGTGGAACTTGCATGAAAACACAGTCTTGAGCATATGTTAGCAGGGAATATGTGGGCTTGCACAAACCTTTTTTTATTGCATCAGTGCAGGTACACATGCAGCAGCTGCAGTTCCTGTACTCAGTGCAGCAGACCTCTTTTCATCCACACAGCTGCGTTAAAGTAGCCTCTCAAAACTGGATGCCAATCACAGGCAGCATCCCTCCTTGGGTAAAGAAAGGGAGTGCGAGAGGGAGAGAGAGAGAGAGAGAATTTTATAGTCACTCACAAATCACTCGTGAGTCCTTCGCCTTGTTTCTCGATGCTTCGCAGAAGAAGCATCCAGGCAGTGTCCATCTGAGGAGTTCAACCTGCTGCTGCTTTCGGTCCTTTATTATTCTTGTAGAGAACTCCTGAATCCTTCAGTGTTTCTGAATCCTTCAGTGTTTCGGGCAATTTATGATGCTTCTGTTACAGTAAACTGCTCTGGCAGAGTGCAGTTTTCTGCCCCCCCCCCCCTCAATGGACAATCAGAGCAGCTGAGATTTAGCAAGCAGACTTCAGTGCCTGTCAGGTGCTGGCATACAGATACGAGCTGATTTATTCACCGAACACAGATCAGGTGCAATTTGATGCACTCAAAGGCTCCTCTCCATGCATGAAAGGGGAAGACATTGAGATGCCAGTTGCTCTATCCCTGCACCCCCCCACCCCAATTTTTTTCCTGCTTATGTCTTAAATCAAAGAGCAGCTTGGCCAAGTGACGGGGCTACACAGGCTGAAGATAAAATAGACTAGATAAAGAAAAAAAAGTGTGATGGTCTTGTTTGACAACTTCTTTTGAAACATTGTCAAGGTGTTGCAGTCTAGATCTAAAAGGAGAATGACGTGCCGTCAGACACATCCATGGCCTGAAGTTGACACACATCCTTAACGGTTTGGAAACAACATCTGCTTTTCTCAACCAAATGCTCCTCGGCGCTCACCAGTAATCAGCTTTCTCTCCCCACTACTAAACCCCACTGGATCGTTTAAAAAATTCCAGAGCAGTTAAGCATCTTGAAATCTATTAGTGAGATCAGCAGTCCTGGGGCGTCACTCAAAGCAGGGAATGTGCATATTGGCATCAATTTTGTATGTTAACACATTCAAAGTGCTGTTACACTCCTCCCAACAACACCCAGCAGCTTGACATGGAACTGAGCCGCTCTAAATTTTCAAGGGTTGCACTTTTCAGTGCTCCAAATTAGGCAGAAGGGCATTTTCTATGCCACATGGATTTAGTCGGTGACTTATTTTAAGCATGAAAATAAGCTCTGTTCTGAATTTAATACATGGAAAAGCCTGACAGAAGCCCCAGCGAAAAATCCGAAAGTCAAAATGAGGTTAACAAAAAGTAAAACATTAATACTCCTTTTAATTTCCTTGGCTTTATAGACGTGCAACTGAAAGGCTGGACATCTTCATTTAATGAGCTCGACAGTAAGAGAGCAGGGGGGAGTGTAACACCTGACATTTCTTTGGGGTTTTATATAGCATCTGTCTGGTCAGCCATCCATACAAACTGCTCCAGATGTTAAATTTGTGGAGGAGGAACCGTGTGCCTGTACTGCTGAGTGATGTACGAGCAGCACAAATAAAAGAAACGGTAGATTTTCCTCTCAGGAAGGAGGCAGCGCAAAGAAAAATATAATAGCAGTTCGTGTCACAAAGTCGCTGTCACGCAACAAGAAAACCATTAGTCTGTCCTAACGGAGACCGGCGGCTAATGAAGCGAATGCACACCCAACTCTTCACAGTGGGGAAGACACAACTCTCATTGATATGCGCCTCATCGCCCGACCGATCTGATTTAGAGGTCCAGGACTGCAACACAGACCTACTCGCTTAAAGCTACACAAGCGTGGGTGACGAGTGCCCCGTGAAAACCAATAAGGGGAGAGATTATCCACAGTGATAAATGATAGCTTAACGTATGACAAAACACGCTTCCAACTACAAACCTTCTGCAGCAGAGGATTTCTGCTGCGGGTGAGTTGTGTTTGCTTTGCACCTCTGTATAGCCCAGGCTGGACAATTTTGGGTCACAGTTGATTAATGTGTGGAGTCTGCTTGTTCGTTAAGCACCGCTGCTCACGCACAAACTAAAGTAGTAGCTCAGTCTTGATGGTTCACGCAGTGTTACTGCGTTTCCATTTGATATTTTCAGTCTAATAAAGCAGTAGATTGGAACCTAAAATAGCTCCGGCCAGGCAGCTTCAAACTGACTGCAGATTTTCTTTAATGAACAGCACGGCCTTAATGGCTCAGCTACCTTGAATAGCGGTGATACAGGGGTTCCCAACTCTGGTCCTTGAGGATCACCATCCTCCATGTTTTAATAGTTTCTCTGCTCCAACACGCCTGATTTTAATTAATGGGTGATTAATGGTCTTTTGCAGAATGTGAGGAAGTACTTTAAATAACTGGATTGTGTGTGTTAGAGCAGAGAAACATCTAAAACATGCAGGATGGTGTTCCTCAAGGACCAGAGTTGGGAACCATTGGCATAGGGTTATAGCAACTCATCAGTGGTAACATCCACTAAAAAAATCACAAGATTTTGAGGAAAATTGGTGAGATGAGTTAGAATGTTGAGCTTCAGGCTGAACTGGAGCAATCTGCAGAGGTGGCTTCAACCAAAATGCAAAACACAACAACCAAGTAGCACTCTGTGTTTACATGGACTTTAAGTAATCAGATTAAACGGCCATTCGGAATAAAAATGTGTCATGTAAACGCCCCATTCGTATTATTCTGAGCTGATTCAGCTCAATCCGAATGAATTTGTAATCAGAATTAGAGTGGTGGTTTATGCCGATTCATAATCCGAATGGTGTGCATGCAAACTCTTAATCTGACCATTTTATTCAGATCGTGAAAAACTAACCTAACTGCGCATTTGCGACCTGTCTACCTCACGTATTTCCGCCCGACTAATGCTAATATGTTGGGGAAGCAAAAATGGTCGGTGAGCGACACAACATTTCTACTAGAAACTTTGAAAGAGCTCAGAATTATTTGTATTACCTGTAGCTCAGTCAGGGAGTGCAGTAACATCATTAAAACCTAGTGCTGGTCCATTTTGGACACTCAGGTTTGTTTATGTTCATTACGGAAGTAGAACTTATTCTGTGTTTTTTTTTTAAGGAGAGACCACTCTGCGCATGTCAGTACTTCTATTCAGAATAAAAGCCCGTTGCAGGTAAACCCTCGTCATGATCAGATTGTACCCAAATGTAAACGATACATTTGAATTATTTAATCCGAATACATCTCAATCCGATCAAAGGATTTTGCACATGTAAACATAGCTGTGGGTACCAGCAGTGGTGGAGAAAGTACTCAAACACTGTACTTAAGTAAAAGTACAAATAAACAGACAAAAATGTACTATAGTAAAAGTAGAAGTACCATATTAACATTTTTACTTAAGTAAAAGTAAATAAGTACTTGCTTTAAAAATACTTAAAGTATTAAAAGTAAAAGTACTTCCTGAATGTATTACATAATGCAATGGTCTACATATCTTTATGTGCACCTACTGTATATATATTTTCTGTAATCCATTAATAGTGTTGAGCCATTTTAATGAACAACGCTGCAGATAGTGCATGTTTTTATTGTGTTTACTCTGTGACACCGTTCACACTTGGACTTGTGATTCTGTGCGTCAGAATTTCAGGTATGACCTGCAGAGTTAAATGCCATTAAGCAAAATAAGAAAGAGGAATGATTATACATTTGAAAGTTTTTATTTTACACAAAGCAAAACCAATATGTCATTTTAACTGCAGTAAACACATTTAAGTAAAAGTTGTCTGCCTGAACAAAAGGGGCGTTAGACACAACTAACAAAGGAACAGGCTCTGATCATTTCAACTCCAGTTAAAATTCTGTCTAGTCAAATTTGTAATGGGTCAATAGTGAACAATATTTAACTTCCTGACACCATTTTTAAAACTTGGACCCGAGTGTCGAGTCATTTGGAGACATCTCTTGTCTCCTAACATCCCATGAACTGACACATTTTAATATTGCAGCAAGAATTTCTTGTTGAAGTTCAGAAGAAGTTGTTTTCAAATATTTTTTAGTCCAATCTGGCTCTTTTGGGAGAGAGAAGCTGTCCTGTTGTACTGAGCAGTCTTTCAATAGTCTTTCAATGAGGCCATGGGTGGCGAGTACCTTCTGACTGACTCTCTTGCGGTGGAATACATTTTGGGTGTGTTAGCGGTGCTGCAGGTGCACCCAGCTCAGTGACATATATATGTCACTAGTCCAGCTCTTCTTGAAGGTGGGCCTAACATTACCTGCCCGCTTTGCAGTGATTCAATGGACCAGCTCCCCTCTCACCATTGGTTACTTTCAAAGTAACAAACAAATCAAAAAGCCGCAACATGAATGTAACTTGTAATGCAACGCATTATAGAAATGTAGTGTAGTAGAAAGTACAGATACTTGATGTAAAATGTAGTGGAGTAAAAATATAAAGTACCCACATTTAACTCTACTTAAGTAAAGTACAGATACATGAAAAATGTACTTAAGTACAGTAACAAAGTATTTGTACTTAGTTACATCCCACCACTGGGTACCAGTTCTGGTGGAATGGCACAAAGAGGCAAATATATTGTTTGCAAGAACCTTTAAGAAACTTTCTTGTGAAATATTTTATTGATACATACAACCAAAACTTATTGTATCAGTGGATGAAGAGTTTGCTGAGCCCATAAGACCTACAGTACAGGTTCTGCTAGAACGTCTGTGGACAAATTTAAAAAACCTCCTTCAATATGAAGGGAATTA